ATAATCATCATCATTATCATCATCATCATAAACAAATCAACATATAATATGTATATATCAGAATCACAAAAGGGTACTTACTATTGCTATAATTTAATCTCATATCCCCCAGATAGCAATGTAAATTGTAATACTCAGAGGGTTTCAATAATCCATAGAATAACGAAACAGTTCTGAGCTTTTGTTTGCCATCTGTTATATGAATGTTTTCACTTTGATAAGTGTTATTGATGCACTTATTTTGAGATGGCACTTAAAAATGTGCATTTCCTATATAAATTATATTAAATTGTGGAACACTCAGAGAATTTCTTTTAAAATTATACAGTGTAACTGCTTTTCCTTTATACCATGTAGAGGAAGTGCTTGATTGGGAAGATAAACATGATTTGGCAAAAGAGTTCTGGATATCAATCAAGGGCAGTCTGAAAGAAAAGGTAAACAGTTTTTGTTTGATTGTCTTGTACATGTGCATGGCCACTTTTTTTTATATAAACATTTCTGGTAATTGCCAAGAAAATCAAGGCAGAGTTGATATCATTATACATGTATATTATTATTATTTTAATGCTCTCTTTTTTTGTGCATGTTGTTTTCAAATATAATTTTCAAATTCATAGAATATTTACTGTTAGGACCTATTATATCTGATATACATGTACCACAGTTACATAACTTAAGTATGTTAAAAAAGTCACGTGAACAGTTCATTTCTCAAGCTGTTACAAATATGAATATTATTGAGAGATACAGAAGCTGGCTTTAATTAGGTGCTATATTTACTTACACAGAAATGGTCAGATTTTTTGGATGCAGTCAGGAAAGCATCTCCCGATGATCTTGAACGTGGAGGGACTGCACTGATTAAATTCCTGGCATATGTCCTGCATGTGAACTATGGTAAGAGTTAAATATATTGGTAACTATTTTCACTTTATTTAAAGATGATTTCTTGCATGGAAACCATGCAAGGTTTAATACTATCCACTCTCTTAAAAGATTGATGAACCAGTGATGAATCTCATAAGAGGCAACAGAATTGTCCTCTAGCTTACTTAGTTTGTAGTATAAACAATAGGATCCATTTGGCTTGAAAATATGCTAGGATATTTTCAAAGAAGCAAACCCTTAATGTGCCTTTAAGTTTTAAAAAGGTAAGGTGACTCTGAGCCCTATGTACAGAATATTTTACACTTTGCCGAAAGTTGCATCTTATCATACTTATTAAAATTTGATAAATATATATAAAAAAATACACTGAGCTGTTTTTGAATTATAGGCCCCTAAAGCTTTCAGCATACTAGTACTGTTGGTATGGCAACCTATTGTGTCCCAAAAATGATAACAACATGTTCACCAATGATTGGGCAGTTTTTTGATACCATGATTTAATTGTAGCATCAAGTGATAAAGAGTGGTTATAATGACCCATCAAAATCTAACTGCTGGAAACTGTTTTGAGCCACCTTAAGCATTTACACCAATCGTGAGTGAGCAAAAATATTTGATGGATTATAACTACTAATAATTTAGTGAAAGTACAGTATTGTGAGAGGTAAATACTTTGAAGACATAAGTGAAGCAAGAGAAAATTTGGATGTTTTTGTTATAATGTGATTTAAGCTTTGTTATAACCAAAACTGCAGAGGATGTCTTTCAATCTTCTTTAGCAAAAGGGAAATTAGAAATTGTCAACCTTCAAAACTACATCAGGCTGACTGGGTGGTTTGGACCATTCACGAAAGGGCCACAAGGCTGCCTACAGAAGGTGAGTTGTTAAATTGTGCACATAAAAATTGTGTCCTCTATACTTTTTTTTTCTCATAAGGCTTTTTATCACTTCCATAAATAAATATTGTTAGATGAAAATTTATAGTCAATGATTTTACGATTTAGTTTGCAACTTTTTCACTGCAAAACATTACAGGTCTAGATGGCGGTCTAGATGGGAAAATCTAGACTGCTTTCAATATCGATTTCAGCCAATCAAATTTGTCAATTTGGTAGTTCCCAGTCCGTGTGAGACAGAGCCATTTAATAATGTGCTACCCTCCTTAAAAAAAGTCTTACTTTACTTTTGAGTCTCACTGGGTGTGTATGACATCATTGATAATGACATTCCTCCATACAGTGCAGGGAACAATACCGATTGTTTTATGTGGGAACCATCTCTGTGCTTGGAAAAATACACATGTATGCATGTCCAATTTAAGTCCAGTGTGACATTTACAGAATGGAGACTGGAGACCACAGACTTCAGACCATACACTGCACACATGTAATATCATATATTTCCCATTTCCATCATCGATAGCTAACAGTAAACAGGCTAACCCACGCCCTATTCAGGCTAATAATTATGAATGATATTCAGGCTAACTGGAGAGCTATTTAGGCCTTTAAAATGTAGTTTGCAGTCTGCAAATGTCGCATACTGCAAGTAGTAGCGGTTGACTGTAGCTCTCTTTTTACTTTGAATCTTGAGATTTTCTCTTGACGTTGAGGGAATCGTAGATACAAGCTGCTTCCCTCAGGACCAGTGATAAAGTTTGCATCTAATCAATAAGCTTATAATATCTACCATATTCTGCTGTCAAGGCCTCCATCAAATTTTCCAGATATATACTTCTTGTACATCTTCAATCTTCAGGTGAAAGAGTTGTATCCGCATTTATTTTTTGTTATAATTAACCGTTGGCCTGGATGATCTTATTGACTTTTAGATGACTCATCTAATGGAAAACTCAGCTTCTGTTGATTCCGATGGAAAAGTAGTAAGGTATCAATATTTCTTTTGATATGCTACATTGCATATCTTCTAGTGACGAGCCTGCATGGTATATTGTACCCCTATAATGGTGATTTTTAAAAGGACCAGGACCCCAACTGATGAAAAAAAGTTGGGAGGATGCTTCTCGTTTCGCGTAGGGGTGTAAATCAAACATTTTGGCCGCACTTTATGGGTGTTCAGGACAAAAGTGCTCTATTTTTAG